GTGGTGACCTGCCCCCCCCGGGGGGGGGGGGGGACTGGTCCGGGTCCGAGATGTGCTTCAGACCCCTCCACACCTCACACACACTATTATTCTCCATGCTCTGCTCCAGCTTCATCCTGGAGCTAGCCTTGCACCTCCAGATCATGTACTTTAGTTCCCGCTACACCCTGCTCAGCTCCTCCTTGAGAGCATTCTCAAATTCTGCTGTCTGTGGGTAAAATAATTAGGACATTAATATCTTTTATGGTTTTTTGCATAACTGATGTTTACATTTTATGTTTTTTTCAGTAGCCACACTGTAGCAGTCCTCAGGGTGTAGGACTACTCACACACACACAAACCTACTTGTTTACCTACTTTGTGGGGACCAATGGGAAAAATTTTACAGCTTAATAAGTTCTGCATATTTTCAGCTAGAAAAGCCATTAAGGTATCAAAATGTTCAGTTTTTCCTGTTTGTATTTATTGCATCTCATCCTTCAGCTTATTCATCAAAGAACGTCAGCCATTTCTTCTCAACTATTTCAATATAGAACTTCAACAATTTCTTCTCATCCTTCAGCTTTTTCAGCAATTAATTTCAGGGCGATCCTTTAGCATATCAGCATCCACACGCATTTTCGACAGGAAATGCATTTGTCTAATTTCAGTGTGGTTGCCACGTACCGGTCACCAGCTTTAACTGCCATAAATGAATGTGTTGGTGTGTAATGCTGAAATAAATTAAATGCTATCCTATGAGAGTTTTACTGTATCACATGACCATTGTTTGAACCATCCAACTGCATTATTTTCTCTGATAGCCTGCAATGTTTTCTTGAGTGAGAAAGGTGGTTATTTAATTAAGGACAGTTGAGTAAATCCTACCGCATCTTGTACATTTTAAACGTCACCCCTCTACTATGACTGCAAGTTGCTAGTTCTGTACTAGCTAACTTTTTTTTGTTCAAGCCAACCCGGGACCAGTAGTGCCGGTAGCCGACACTAGAGGCGTGTTCAACTGCTGCTTCTTGTTTTGGTTAGCTCAGTGTCATCCCATGCTTTCTGCTTGTAGCCGGGTGTAACGGGGATGGCTTTCCCATGAGGCGGGGAAGCGGGGCTGTGCTTTTTGACTAAACACCTACTGAAGTGCCGTGGCCATGGCCGGGGTTTTCGACATCGATTTAGATCAACCGGATGAGAATGTCTCTGACGACGAACTTGAGGACGGGGTGAGTTATTAAGGATGAGACTAATACCAGTTAGCTAGCACGTAGCCTACAAGGCCTGTGTTGCTAACATTCGTAGTCAGGTATCCATTTTCGGACGCGTCCTCGTCCACCCCTTTCCGGCTGAATCTGGGAGTCGCCCTTAAATCAGTCTTCAGTTTACAAAGCATTTTGAAATGTAAGCAATATTCGGCTTCGTCACATATACCTGCAGAGACACTGGTTACACCTGCTGAATAAAAATTGTTCACGGAGGACAAGTTGGTATTTCCACGGCTTAGCATGACAGCCGCATAACGCTAGCTTTTAATCTTAACCTAACAGACAGTGAAGCCAACGCCACGATGTCAACAAAGAGGTTATCTGAAATGTAGGAAAATGACGCATGGAAAACCTCATAATAAAAGTCAAACACAAATGAAAAAGATTTGTGTGTACTTTAACCGGTCGTCGCTGAATGTCCGATAATGGAGTCATAAATTACGCGGTCTTACATTCGTTTGTTGTCGGGGTATAAATTAACGTGCAACTAGTCATGAATATCCCATGTAACGTAGCTATGCTCAGACAACTTATTAAAGAGTGGGGTGTAAATAAACTCAGTAAAGCCAACCAACAACAGACTGGAAGGGACTGTATCCAAGAGGTCCATATTGTTTGCTATCTTTGTGAAGTTGAGTTAGCATGTACTAGGCATTAGCTACTGTGGTCATTGGTTTATTAGCTACAAACATGGGGTATTTGAATATTGTTACTAAATTTATGTTGAATAGAAATTGTGTCTGTTTAATTACTCTGATTAGTAAGCCGTAACTTAAAGCAAACTTAATAAGCAGCTATTTGGCCAGAAAATGAACAAAAATGAAGAATAAAATAATGAAAGGTCCATAATATATCCATAAATATGCTCAGGTTTGCTGGTGAATAACAGATCGCCCTCGCATTCCTGTAGACTGAGATTTTCTGTCCTGTTCTCGTTTTCAGGGCCACTTCAACGAATACATGGACCAGTGCAGCAGCTTTGAATTGTGAGTATAAACGGTGCTGTTGTGCTGTCGGTACCAAAAGAATACATAGTATCAAACGTTTTTATTTGGATGACTGGACATTATAATAGAGGATCTGTAAACATCTATGCTTTGACTATGACGCTAAAAGGATCAATTGATTAGTGGGTTTAAGAAAATTGATAATTGATTAATCATTCGAGCAACTTAAAAAGCTAAAGAGACAAAAATGTACTTGTTCCCACTTCTCTTATGTAAAGATTTTCAGTTTTTCTTTGATTTGTATAATTGCAAACCAAATATTTTGGAGTTTGTACTGCTGGTTGGACAAAATGGACTAAAGAGTCTGGGAAACTATAATGGGCTCCACCCCCCACCCCCAACTAATTGATTAATAGAGAAAATTATCAGGTGAATAATTGATAATAATTGCAGCCTTATTTAATGGAATTTGCTGTGCTGTTTTTTGTTTGTTTGTTTTGGTGCAGTCTGTGGACCTCCACTGGATGGATAAAGTGCCATTCTCTCAAAAGATATTCCCTCATTTGTCGTTTTGATGATGACAGTGGCACTGTGGTCTAAGTTCGGCTGGATTGAACGTGCCAAAGTAATAGCCAGAACCAGTGCATATGATAATTTGTCACCCATCCTTATGTAATAGGTTGAGTAATAATGGATATTATGGTAAAGGGGTTCTTAAGGCTAAATATGATTAAATTGGGTCTCCTTGCACAGATCTGGATCTGTTTAAGAAGTCATCCTGTGAAACATTAGGGAGACACTTCTGAGTCAGTCAGCTGTTTATTCCCAATAACAACATTGTTGTACCACCATCAACCTCAGTTTATTTACTACCCATGTTTATGTCTAGGCCCAAATTCTTGTAAAACTTATTGCTAATATTGTTGTGTGTCTTGGAAATTGTAATGACTGTTATTTTTATTGCTTTCGTTCTTTTTTGCCAGCAACATGGATGACTGTGAGAAGTTTGAGATTTCAGAGAACAGCGTGAACAAGGGAACAGAGCAGATCAGGCCTGAATGCTTTGAGCTCCTGAAAGTTTTGGGAAAAGGTGGCTATGGAAAGGTGAGGCATGTGATTCCCAGGAATGTAAATGTAAATATACATTCACGCTCATTACCACACACCAGTGAATTGACGACTTCTTCCATTTTCCTGTTAGATATTTAGCTTGACTTAAAGCTTAGATTTTGAAGGTTGTGACTATCTATTCTATATGAAGGCTGGAAACTAAAACAGTGAACTAACAGAAACTAACGGTGTGTAGACCTGTGAAGTTGGGTTTGTAATTCTCAGAGGGCTCTCAATGTGGCCATTTCACTTTACACTTGAAAAGTGTTAAAAATGTATATTTTGAAATGCGTGAGAAATTACACTTATTATTGGCTTTTTTGGCATGGAACCTACTATTATATTGCCAGTGTATGGGAGGACATTGCAGTTGTCTGTAAATTCCAATAAGTGGTGAATTTTTTTAATAAAGTGACTGGAAATTGAATGCTTCATGCTACAAATGTTTATTTGGTGAGTGTCTTTCGGGGCTTGTTTTTCCGGTGTGTCCCACACTGTTGGCACTACTCTGTCTCTGTTGGTGGCTTTTCTGCTGATTCAACATATCGAATTGGCATCAGACCAGTCCAATAGCATCTGGCTGCGGTGTGCAGAATGCCTCATGTTAGGCCCCCACACATAACCTCACTCAAGTCATGCCCCCTACACAACGTCACTGAACCAGTTAGAGGATGAGACATTGCACCAAAAACGAACGTAGAAAGAATAGGTTAACTACTGTTAGCTCCTTAAGCATGCCGAAGTGTAAGTGTGTAAATGTAGTAAAGCAAATGGTTTTTTGTTTCAGTTTAATGTCACTATATATAGCCACTAATGTTATTGTTGGAATGCCAAAAAAACTGACATAATTTGAAGTGTACTCTAAATTAGATTAGTTAGATTAGATTAGTTGCACTTCTTTATCTTGCTTCAGACAGCCCTTTTCAAAAACCACTAGACTCTAGTGATGAAAACAGTAATTTTACCTTGCATAACACAGGAGTTGCTGGTCTACCACTGCTGTTTTGTCAAATGAGTCTGGTGGCTTTGAAGAGAACACATATGGATGTAACTGCTTCAGTTCCTCGTCGGAAAAGGCTGTCTGACAGAAAAGTAATGCATTGAAAACATCAAAATCATGGAGTGTTCTTAATATAGCATTCACATATGCATCTTTGCTCTGTGGCTTCATGACTGATAAGTGACTGTAATACTAAACTTGTTGTACATTCTACTGTGTAACTAAAAAAAAATCAGTATCATGGTCCTCCAGGCTAAGGAGCTAACAGTAGCTAACCTACTGTTACCATTGGGTTATTTTGGTATTACCAATCCAAAGAGTTCTGGAAATTTTTTGACATTCCTTTTTTTAAGATTGATCATGAAAGTGCACGTCACAGTTATTTTGGAAACATTTTCCCTCAACAGACTTGTGATATATTTCTTCGTAGAAGTGGTTTTGTGTATAACAAAGAGGGCATTTTCTGTGACTTTGGATTTCTTAGCATTACAAAGCAATTGCTTTTTTAAAACACACTGTGATTTGTTTATTTTCTTGTATAGTTATAGTTAGTATATATAGGCAAAGATGTAAACTTCATTAATCTCACTTACTGCAAAAATATCAGTGTTCATGCCAACCAGACGCCATGGATGACAGGTGAGGTTCACAGACTTCTGAGGGCTCAGGATGCAGCCTTTAGGGCCAGCGACACTGCAGGCCTAACAACAGAAAGAGCCAACCTGTCCCTTGGAATCAGGGAGGCAAAACGCCAATACAGCAAGAAAATATCTGGACACTTCAGCAACACTAGAGATGCACAGAGTCTCTAAAGGGGCATCAAAACCCCTCACAGGCTATAAACCCCCACATCGGAGCTGTGATAGTGACATCTCTCGGCTGAACAGCCTCAGTGACTTCTTTGGCCACTTTGAAACACAGAACAACACACCAGTACAGAAGGCCACCCCAATAATTCCAATTACAAAGAAGCCCCACCCAACCAGTTACAATGACGGCCTGTAGCACTGACTTCAATTATTATGAAGTGCTTCAAACGGCTGGTCATGCAGAATGTCAAGTCCATCCTTCCTCCATCCCATGACCCATTTCAGTTTGCATACAGGTCAAACAGGTCCACAGAGGATGCTATTTCTGCTGTTCTCCATCCAGCCCCCACCCACCTAGATTCAAAGAACTCTTATGTGCAAATGCTGTTCCTAGACTTCAGCTCAGCATTCAACACAATCATTCCTCAGCAGCTTATACAAAAACTTGGACACTTGGGACTCAAAACCTCTCTCTGCAACTGGGTGCTGGACTTTCTAACAAGGAGGCCACAAAATGTGTGGGTTAGCAGCAACATCTCCAAGACCATCACGCTGAGCACAGGGGCTCCGTAGGGGTGTGTGCTCAGCCTATTGCTCTTCACCCTGCTGACCCACGACTGTGTGCCAACCTACAGCACCAACCACATTGTCAAGTTTGCGGATGACATGACTGTAGTTGGCCTCATTACCAACAATGATGAGGCTAACTACAGTAGTGAGGTGTGCCAACTGGCCCAGTGGTGTAAGAACAGCTACCTCTCCCTCAATGTGGGGAAGACTAAAGAGATCATTGTGAACTTCAGGAGAAAACCTCTAAAGCATCCACCACTGACCATCGATGGTGCTGTAGTGGAGAGAGTGAGCAGCACCAAGTTCCTGGGGGTGAGCATCTCTAAGGACCTCTCCTGGACCAACAACACCACATCACTGGCCAAGAAAGCTCAAACACGCCTCTACTTCCTCCACAAACTGAGGAGAGCCAGTGCCCCACCCCCCATCATGTGCTCCTTCTACCGGGGCACCATTGAGAGCGTCATCGCTGGCTGCATCACTGTGTGGTACGGAGGTTGTAATGCCTCCCGCAGAAGGACCCTGCAACGCATAGTGAATACAGCCAGCAAGATCATCAGTGCCCCTCTGCCTTCCCTTACGGACATCTTCAACACCCGCAGAGCCATCAGCATTGCTGATGACACCTCCCACCCCGCACACTCCCACTTCAGACTCCTACCTTCAGGTAGAAGGTATTGGAGTCTTCAGGTCCACTCCACCAGACTTACAAACAGCTTCTTTCACCAGGCTGTGAGGATGCTGAACACTGTTCACTACCTCTGCCCCTTGGACTGTAACCCACCACAGAACATAAAAAGATAATAAAAAGACTACCCCTGCTGTTGCACAAACTCAATACATTCCCCTTTTTTGTTATATTATATGTAAATTGCTGCTGACTGTTTTTTTGCCGGGATATCTGCTGCTGTTGGTCATTTGCCATACTGTCCATGTGTACCTCATATGCTATTTGCACCTCATCTCCAACGCCCTGGTGATGCTGAACCATCTGACAGTCTCCTATTATTGTTTGCACTACTGTCACTGACTGTACACAGTTTTGAGTCACAGCTTATTGGCTGTACCATTTAGATTTATCCTAATTACATCAATCTAGTTCTTATTCTGTTCTGTTCTATTTTATTCTATTCTGTTTTTGTTCTACTTTATTCTACTTTAGTTCCTAAATGTTATGGCACCCAATACTAGGTGAGAGAGAAACAGAATTTTGATTTTCTGTATGTCCTGCACATATGGTGAATTGACAATAAAATCCTTGAACCTTGAACATTAAAGTTGAGAGCAGATAGTCTTTCTAGAAGTATGCTCACAAAATCCTTAGTAATCCCTGGGCACACTATAGTCAATAGAATAGAATAATAATAGCGACCTTTGTTAAGCAGTTGTTTAGTTGAATGAATACACATGCAGCTTCTAAACGTCGTGTCAGTGCTAAAAGAATTTGAATGTTCTTGATGTTTCCAGCAAGACCAAGTGGAATTTTACAAGCCATAGCTGAGACATTAATGAACATTTCTGGCCTACAAAACAAAAGAAATAGTGAATCGGGTATCTATAGGTCTTAAAAAGGCTCAGAAACCTTTTCTCAAAAAAAAAAAGGTTGCTTAAAGTCTTAAATTTAATTTACAAAAGTCTCTTAGATATTTTGTCTGCCATATGCGGTGGGATTAGTTGCATAACGTTTTTGGTTTTTGGTTTTAGATTGCAGGTTAGATTGGGAGACATTACACACCTGTAAATTTAAAGTAGTGTTGTACCCGGTACTTTTTACCATTGCTAGCTCTGAGAGACGAGACAGTCCAAGTAACTACAAAACAGTCCTGATTTATTCCATGAACACAGGTAAAAATTAACATTACACGCTCAGGTATCTTGCACCTCCAAACTTCTCACAGGCAGATGTAAGATGAAAGACCCTGAATCCACCAGGCCTATACATTATATCCCCTCGGTTGGGCTAGCCCCATACTACACAGAAACGTCAACCGAGACGTCTCTGTTACCAGCTTTGCAGCTGGCCATAGCAGTAGTCAAAACATGAAGCAAATCAATGTGTGAATGTGTGTGTCTGTTTTTAGCTACACACCACTTAACCAACATTCTCACAACCTCTAGTACATGTCGTGTCTTAAACATAAGAACATATTATGGCTAAAGCTACAGTTATACACGTCGTAATAATAATATTAAACACCCTGTCTGCTGACAGTCATCAACTCTTCTCTCTAGTTATCCTTGACCAGATGTACCCTGTAGAAACTCATAAGCATGACTAAGCATTTAACAGTCTAACTAGACATCCTATCTCCACTAAACATTTCTAATACATAAAATATCTATCCAATTTCTATCTGACTAAAAATACCTAACAGTAGGATAGTTGCAACAATGAATTGTGCATACAGGAGTGTAGCCAGTTTATTATTGGCTTACTGTCTCATAATAGACAAGATTAGATTGCGGTAAAAAGTTAAATGAACTTAAAATATGATCAGTTTTGATTGGTTAACCCATCTATTCTCCAGGTCACATTCATTAGATTAATTATATCATTTGGACTTTCTGTTAGTTCATACTGTTGGGAACACCAGAAAAATGCTAAAGCATTAAATAGGGTGGCTATGGCTCGGAAGGTAGAGTGGTCATAACCGAAAGGTCAGCGATTTGAATCCTGTTCTCCCCAGTCCACATGTCAAATTATCCTTGGGCAAGAAACTGAACCCCAAGTTGCCCCTGATGTCTAGTTCAGCACTGCCACTGGCATGTGTGTGAGTTGGCACTGCATTTGGCTGCCTTGGTTCTGTACCAGAGACAAATTCCTTGTGTATGTAACATACTTTGCCAATTATTTAAAAAAAAAGAAGTTATTGTCCATATCATCACTGCTGGTTTTCCATCATATTGTCCTAATTTGGCCAGTTTGACTGTGAAATGGATTCAACTGAATTCTGTGTGGTATTGAAGATGTCTTAAAATATTTACATTTATCTTGATGTACCCTGCAGAAAGTTTGTGTTAATGTCAGATGATGTCAATTTTTACAGGTCTTTCAAGTTCGGAAAGTGTCAGGTGCCACCTCTGGGAAGATATTTGCAATGAAAGTTTTGAAGAAGGTGAGTGAATCTCCCTTTCTCAAGTTTGGCTGAGGGTCTAAATATTCTTCAGGGAGAATATATCTCATAGATTCAGAGAGTAACTCAGTTATGCTAATTGTAGGTGAGTGTAACTGCCCCCTAGTGTACATACAGAGTAGTGTAGTGTTAGAGAAATTGTGTCAGCTTGGCCTCCTCTTTGCAGCTGACACAGAGGTCATGTTTGACTGTGCTTGAGGATTTGGTTAATGACTGTGTTTACTGGCTTAATGGGACTTTACTGTAGTTACCATTCTGGCCGTCTGATTCCTGCTCTGCCTCTGCAGCTTCTGTTAATACTAATATGACTAATATTGTTTAAGTTATTGATGGAGTAGTTTTCACGCCCTGACTTTCTGTCCCTTGCCAGGCCATGATTGTGCGTAATGCAAAGGACACAGCGCACACCAAAGCAGAGAGGAGCATTCTGGAGGAGGTGAAGCATCCTTTCATTGTGGACCTCATCTATGCCTTCCAGACTGGGGGGAAGTTGTATCTCATCCTAGAATATCTGAGTGGTGAGCTTAGTGACACCCAGTCAAACATGGAATACACATTTCAATACTTTTCTCGCTTCCCTCACAATTTATGACACACTTGACAACATATGTGCATTGGAAATTAGATTGACAGGAGTTTTATTCTGTCTTATTTAATACGGTGAAATTTGAGTCTCTATTTCAAGTATGAATACAGTAGACTTAAATTACTTATTTACCTCCTCATATGACTTTGTATGTGGTTCCTGCAGGAGGAGAGCTATTTATGCAACTGGAAAGAGAGGGCATCTTCATGGAAGACACAGCGTGGTAAGTTGGTTTGTTAAAGAGCGGGTCGTCCACTAATTGCAAGGTTGGAGGTTTGATCCCCTGCTGAGCAATGCACTGGATAAGCGCACTATATAAATGCATTCCATCTCAAAGGTGCATATCTGATAAATACAGTGAGGATGGGGCAGGATGTCTTAAATGGACTTATATATCGCTTTTCTATGTATTGCAGCACACTCAAAAGTGCTTTCACACTATTTGGCCACTCACCCATTTGCACTCACACATTCACACACCGGTGTTATCACCGGGAGCAACTGGGGGTTCAGTGTCTTGCTCAAGGACACTTCAACATGTTGACTGGACAAGCCGGGAATTGACCTGCTAATCCTCCAGTTAGGAAACAACCTTCTCTACCTCCTGAGCCACAGCCTCACCATGTGATGTCTATACAAACCCCCTCCCTGACACTATGCTGCCTACAGTGCTTCCAGCTTCTCTACCCTTGGTTTTCAAGATTTGGTCTGTAAATTAGCACAGTCTTTCACCTAGTGAAGGCTATAAGAAGCATTTTTTGAACCACAAGTTGTCATTTTGAACAGCCAGCCGTGGAGGAGCTCTAGGCAGCCAAAGGTCTGAAACAGTGGCTGCCAGACTGAAAAGGTTGTGTTCTATTACACAGAGGGAACACGGCATAGAGCAAAAACCAGCGTTAACACCAGTTTGGCTTTCAGAGATGAAGAGTGTTAAAAGCATCCACAAGACTCAGATTTGTTTTATATGTGACTTTCTTCATTCTGAATGCATTAGCATCTAAATCTAATGTGTTTGTTTAGGGAACACTAGCAACCTAGCATGGTCATGATTTTACCTATGTATTGAATTAATATGATTTTAATTTAAAAATAATTTGAGCTTTGTGTTGCACTAGCAGTAATCAGAGCATTTTGACAAATTGTTAGTTTTACCAGTTTTTACAAAATTAAATTATTCTCAGACGACTAACAAGCACCCGGTGTTGAAAGTTGTCTCTTTGTTTTGATGACTCCTGATGCAAAGCAGGATCAGAAATGCCAGATGATGCTCAAAAATCAGTGTGCTGCCTCTAGAAGACCAATGCTAACAATTAAGCAAACACCCCTAAACAGACAGACTACTGTTTGGAGTCTGACATCAGCACACTGATATATTTTAAATGTAGCCTTCACATGCAAAAAAGCATCATAAGAAGATATTCAGTGAGAAAATTAAGAACTTCTCCTGCAGGGGATTTTATGAAGGTATCATTCAGTTTTGTTGGACACAGGCAGATACATGACACTTGTTTCTCAAGCAGGTCACTTTCAGCACACGTTGTTCTGGTTTATAAACATAGCCTGTAGATGAAAATGGTGATCACATGAACCAAACTACTACACAAATGAGGCTGTGTAATACTGCCAGAGCATCATCAGGCGCAGCTGGATGTATAGACCATTATGAGGCTGAAAAATGTATAAATGTACGCAATCAGTGATGGATAACACGAGCAAAACAAATTCAATTGATGACCTGTTTTTTTCTGTTGACAGTTTCTACCTGGCGGAGATATCAATGGCACTGGGTCACCTGCACCACAAAGGCATCATTTACAGAGACCTGAAGCCTGAGAACATCATGCTCAACAACAATGGTACAGAAACCTGAAGTGTCCCTTCCAAAAGGCAGATTACAGTGACTTGAACCTACATTTGACCTTTTTGGTCCCAGAATGAATTCGTTCTTTGGTCAGTCTGAAACTTAATCTGTTGTTTATTTGGTATGCCTTTTGCTTTTGTGTCTGTTTCTTTCTAGGGCATGTGAAGTTGACAGACTTTGGTCTATGCAAGGAGTCCATCCATGATGGAACAGTCACCCACACTTTCTGTGGCACTATTGAATACATGTATGTCATGCAATGATCATGCAGACCTTTTGTAGATTAATTTAGATTTCAGTTTTGTAGGCATCTGAATATTCAGATGTTTCCCACTTGTCACAAAGTGTAGTGATACTGATACTGCTGGATCACCTTGTCCGTTCCCTCTCTTTCCTCAGGGCCCCTGAGATCCTGATGAGGAGCGGACATAATCGGGCAGTGGACTGGTGGAGTCTGGGAGCTCTCATGTATGACATGCTAACAGGCGCGGTAAGTGCACACCAATCAATCAATCGATCCCATAGTACCACTACTATATCAAGCAGTTTATCACAGGCTAACTCAGGCAGGAAGCATTCACTGAACTGTCATTTCCACACTCCTGCTCTTTCATAGCCCCCATTTACAGGCGAAAATCGGAAGAAGACCATTGACAAAATCTTGAAATGCAAACTCAGCCTTCCGCCTTACCTCACACAAGAAGCCAGGGACCTTCTGAAAAAGGTGCACAGTAAAATCCTTCCTTCTGCCTCATGGTTCAGTAGCTGCATTGTCTGTGCTGAAATATTTGGAGAGGCAGAGAAATGAAGTCTCCAAACTTTCTCTTTTAGCTGCTTAAACGAAATGCCTCATTGCGACTTGGGGGTGGACCAGGAGATGCCGCTGAGGTCCAGGTAAAGAGTCACACATTGTTGACATGTTCATCTATACTCATTAACTCGGAAACCCTGGTGGTGGTCATGAACTGTGAAGACCTTGCTGCTGTCATTGTCTTTCCCAGGCCCACCCATTCTTCCGGCATATTAATTGGGATGACCTCCTGGCTCGCAAAGTAGAGCCTCCATTTAAACCTTTCCTGGTGAGTTTGTGCTATACCACATCCTCTGTCACTGGTCTGCACGAGATGATTGACTGACCCGCTTCTTTGACAGCAATCGGCTGATGATGTCAGCCAGTTTGACTCCAAGTTCACCAGCCAGACTCCAGTAGACAGCCCTGATGACTCGACGCTCAGTGAAAGTGCCAATCAAGTCTTCCTGGTGGGTAACGAGTTCTTTATCTCTCATTAAGATCTTGCTGCCGCGCTGTCTCAAATTCACCAAAATGTTTATCAAATTGCTAAGTTATGTAAGGGATGAGATATGATACATAATACAGTTACTGAAATGTAACACATGACCCTAAGGACCATAACATATTATTGTGCTTACATTGTGGCCACTTGCTATAAATTTAAATAGAATTTTTGGTCATTTGTCTTTTGAAACACTGCTTCTTTAAACAGATATTTTCTGGTTGTGCCCCAGTGCCTGCGATAGCTGTAGCCAGGGGTGATATGTTTTTTGGTTTTGCATCCCATTCCTGTGCACGTGATATTTCAGAAACTCATTGAAGGACTTTCTTCAAATTTGGCGCAAACATCAACTTGGACAAAAGGATAAACTGATTAGATTTTGGTGGTCAGAGGTCACTATGACTTCATGTTCATCCCATTCTAGTGGATGTGTTATCTCAGGAATACATTGAGGGGATTTCTTCAAATTAAAAACACCTTACGTTCTATTAAATTCCATCAAAGTCTTCACTACATGTGTATGTTATATGAGTCTGGACAGATGTGCATGTAAACGGTAACATGAGGGGTTGGGGAGGCATACAGCTATGAGGTGGTGATTCTAGTTGCTTTGTGTTTGTCAGTCATATGGGAGAATCCCTCAAGCTTCACTGTGGAGAGTAGTATACAGTACATGATGAATTAAGAAAGGTGATGAGGTGGCCATGTCAGTTATCTGAAAAATGGCCCATACATTCCATGTAATGTTTTGTTCATATATAATTGGTTGTTTGATGCTGTTAGCACTTATCTACCCTTTTTGGGGGTTTTCAATCTCTCCTGCCAAGCCGGGGCATGTGTGGCAGAGCCCTAATGAGCTGCTCCCGAGTCAGCACAGTTGTTTCCACTGCACAATAATACACATTGCTTATCTTTTGCACCTTGATTGGTTGCGTACATAGCTCACGGTGTCAGTATGGTGTTACTAGCTTGCAACATGGAGCCCTTGGTGCTAGGCATTATTTTAACCCCTCATCAGAAGACCAGGTGAGAGACTCCATTTTCAAATCTTGCTTGCAATGAAATTACAGATAAAAAGTCAATGCTGAATGTGTAAGGACATTCCCTTGGCACAACATTTCAGCCAGTCACATGTCTCAATGAGCCAACTCTGTTGAAGGCGAAGCTGGGCCCCACTCAGACCTTGGTGGAAGCAGGGCCAACTGAACCCAAGTCAGCACGATTACCCCCCTGCTGTTAGAAACTAATGGAAACGGCCAACCAGTGCACACTGAACTCTGCAGAATAAAAGAGGGCTGAACTGTACTGATGGAAAAACACAATTTGAGTAATACTTTAAACCAATGTTCCATCCATTATCTATACCGCTTATCCTGAAGAGGGTCGCGGGAGCCAGTCCCAGCTGACATTGGGCGAGAGGCGGGGTACTCACTGCTATGGACAATTTAGAGCCACCAGTCAACCTAAGCTGCAGGTCTTTGGACTGTGGGAGGAAGCTGGAGCACCCAGAGAGAACCCACGCAGGCACAAGAGAACATTCAAACTACACACAAGAAGGCCCCGGGTCGGCCAGGGCTTGAACCTGGAACCTTCTTGCTGTGAGGCAGCAGCACTAACTAAAATCTTGTGCAGCATAAAAACAGAGGCAAGCTCTGGACATCATGTTTTTTCTGTTCTTTTCAACAAGTAGGTCTTACGAGAATCTGTTAATGCATCCCATCTGGTTTAGCCCTCTTGTTTTCCTGGAAGCATCACTCACCATTCCACCACATTGCATGAAATGGCTTACTCAGTGTTTCATTGCTCATCATCAGCTGTGGGTTGTTTTTGGAAAGATGCTCTTTGAAGAAGTGAACTCAGATCTCTCTCTGTTTTTGTCCCCCTCCCCCATCCTCAGGGCTTTACCTATGTAGCCCCTTCTGTGCTTGAAAATGTCAAAGAGAAGTTCTCTTTCGAGCCAAAGGTCCGCTCACCGCGGAAATTTCTAGGAAGCCCAAGAACACCTGTGAGGTAACAAGAAGTTGTTTTTGTCTCTAGTTCCACTGAATTTTGTTTACAGCACATCTTCCCCACATCAATGACTCATTTACTGACCTTGCAAATGTAGCCTGCTTGGCCCAAATAAATCCATCATTAGAAGTGTAAATAAGTTTCTTTCCATTGACACCACAAAAAAAATCCTCGGAAGGCTTCATAATAACTGATCACATGATTATGGGTCAGATAGGTAGGAGTCAGTTGTGTAAACTGAGTTGAATTTGAAGAGCAAAAGACTGCAGCTTGAGAGTGAGATAGAAGAGAAATTCTGGAGCTTTTACAGTAATTTGTCTTGAGTTCCAGTTTTATTTTCCACACTCCCAGCTGTAGCTGTGTGACTTATGACTGCCTCTGTGACCTTACAAAAAAGAGCTAGTGTCCTGGAATAATCAAAGTTTCTCACATCTCCCTCTTCCACTAGTCCAGTGAAGTTTGCAGGAGGGGATAGTTGGCCCCGGGGACCCACGCTGACAGGCAACCCATCCCTGCTTTCCCATGGAGGCTCTGGAGAGCAACCCATGGATGTGTCGACAGTGGAGCATATGGACACAAGCAGCAGCAGCACCTCGGAGGCCTCTGCACCGCTTCCTATCAGGCACCCTTCAGGTATCAATGCAGGGCCCTACAAAAAGCAGGCCTACCCCATTAATTCCAAGCGGCCTGAACATCTACGAATGAACCTATGATGCTCGGCTCGCCTTCAAACATTAGGACTCTTCCAATTCCTCCTCTTCGTCCCTTTTATCAATTGCTTTTAAAGAGACTTGTAGAATTTTTTTTAAATTGACTGACACTGTCTACACCAATCACCAGCTCTTCCAGCAGCGCCTTTGCCTCTTAGGCCTCCAAACTCCTCCTGACTCAGCCTGCTGCAGATAATCAGCAGTTAGAAATACAGTGTGCTGTATGTGCAGTCAGTTGTAGGAGTGGTGTCAGGGAGGTGCTTCTCAGTGAAAACGGGCTTGTTGGCTGCCTGATGCGAGCTGCTGAGTGGGCTGAGGTGGTTTCAGTGTACTCGACTGACATTAACACATGATGTACTGGTGCTCTTTTATCATTGAGTCTGAATGTTACAATTAGTGTTTACAACTATGTGCCTCCATCACAGTGAGAGAATTTGCTTATGAGGGGCGTCCGCAGGTAGAATTACCAAATAAGAATTCCAAAACGAACACAGCATTCATTATGCTTGAGGAAAGGTATCACATTGCCAGTGTTACTGGAGCGTGTGGTCAGGAGTAGGTGGAGCACGACTTTGCAGATAAGCAGCTTTGTAGAAAAACAGAAGTGAAATTTCAGATGAAAGCATCACTTCCACTGCAGTCAGTACCCAATGCTGGCACTGCTTTACTTGGCTGACTGGATTGCTTTTGGTAGGAAGCCTGTCCAGAAGCACCGTTCCACTTCTTTGTGTTCAATATGAACAGACTTGAAACACCTTTTCATGTGTGCTTAGTTTCGAGGACTCGTGCAGCATTTTTTTTCACCTCTTCTACTCTGCAAGGGCCATGGTGGAAAACAAAAATTTTGACCCAAAAAACACTCAACCAAACCAATACAACTGCCTTCTATGATTCAGGCTGAATTCACAGGCTTGGGTGCTTTTTGTGTTTTGACAGTAAAGGGGCTCTCAGCGTTGGGGGACAAACCCAGACTCATATGAGTGGACAATCTGTTAAAATGTGTTTGAATTGAGATGTGAGATGTCGTGGTGTTATGTAAAGCCTCAGTATGAGCCTTGGGCATTAAGCCATGCAAACCCTGTCGAGCTAAAACTGTCTGATGATACGGCTTGAAAATTGAATGAATGGACATTTGCTTAATTTTGAATAGGTCCATGATGTTTCTGCCACTGTTTCAGTGAACCAAATGATTTATACTGGCAAACAGATAAACCCTGGTCAAGCATGTTCATATTTTTAAAATCAAACCTACTTTATTTTCCACATTAGCAGAAGCATTTTAAATAGTGTCTGTGAATTTGCACACTTTTTACACAGGTGAAGTTTGTGTAAAAGCTGCAGAGATGGAGGATGTGAACTGGATCAGTGTTGGGCTGACATGATTTGGTTTTTCTACCATTCTGGTAAAACAGCTATATTTAAGTCACTCCACCTAATTTTTTTGTTTATATTTATTTTAAGTGTTTTCATTCTGTTTCCACTGCATTGTTCACAGCTATGCAAAAATCAGGTATTTATTATGTAGTATTATTTAGACAAGGCAGCAGAATCATCAGTATTCTGATTTGATATTATTGTCAGAGCCTGATAGTCATAATAATAAGCACATAGAATTTGATTTTTATTTCCACAGAGCAACCTCAAATGCAGGTTTTTTTTTTTATTCCAGAAGTGATACTGACCTAGAAGTCTTACAGTGGCATAGTATTTTGTATTCAAGGGTTTTTTTCCTTTCAGAAAACATATTTTAGACTTTCCTTGCTGAAAACTCATTTAGTCTTTTTGCAGTACTTAAAGCAAAACGAGTTATTTAAAAAGGCTGGGATTGATCTGTAAGGTTCACTTCCTGTTGAGGTTTGCTTGAGAACAACCATGTTAACAAGCTTATTTCAGGTGGGAAACATCATCTTTGAAGAGAAGGGGTGTGCATTGGTTAACATTATTTCTGTTGTGTCACTTGCTCCTTCGGATGGGGGATGTTAATATGTTTCATGTACATAATGAAGTTAAAATTAAAACAAAAATCTTTTTGAGCAGTGGCAAAGCAAACTGTCAAATCTGTTAGCCTAAACAGCTAAAATTATCTTGTGACAACTTGGGGGATAATTTCAACTCTTAAACTTATGCAGGCTTTACCAAAACCTTGGAACATTTATTTAGACGTCAATGACTGTCTAAGACCGTTATTTTGGGACTCAGTGCTTCAGCAAATGAGTGATTCTCACTTTATAAAACAAGTCTCAAACAGCATTCAAATATAGATCTTTATTCAGATAGTTTATGGATCTCAGTGGATAGAAACTTGATTTTTATACATAATAAAATAAATGCTTTTTCCAATCTTTGGATTTTACAAAAATTAAGTTACACTTGCCTCTATAGAAAAATAATTTGTATAAATCAGTGTCACAAGCTCAGTTGCATCCTTTTTAACCAGTCATGAAAAAAGTCACCAAAAGTTGAAAAGGAAAGAAAACATCCATCCATCACAAACTGATTCTTTATCCTGGCAACTGGGATCCTCAGTGTCTGGATGCAGGCCAACAAACATCTGGTCATCACTGAACCATGTGGTGTTATTGCTTATGCTGCTGTATACCTCTGGACATTTGTTATAAATCAGAAAACCTGCTTCCACTAATTTAACACTGGATGAGACACAGCTCATGTGTTTTATGTCTCTTCAAACTTATAGGAAATCCATTTAAAATACTTCGATATATTTCTCTGAGGTTTCCATATTTACAAGTAGAAAGCTGAAAAAAAAACTTATAATATTTATCCCCATTGGTGGTGTTTCAGTCCTTTGACACCGATGGGGATAAATATCTCCGACTCAACGCCAGTCGGGCAGAACTGGTGAAGCCTCTTGGATGAGAGGTGAAACGTCTTCGACCTAAAAACCTAGTCCAGTTGATTATTCTACGTTTTTTTTCAGCTTACTATGACCTGGATGACTGAGAATCTGCACGGACATGTTACAAGTAGAAAAAACTGTGCAAGTAGAACAATTTGTTGCCCATAAGAAAAGTATATATGAAGATTAAAAGGTGAATAAAAAAAAAAACACCACAGACAAATCAAAAAACATCCGAGGGCATGAAAATGATCAACTTGCAGTTGTCTGTGAGTGGCAAGTAGGAGTGTACTGGTAAATAAGCCAGAAACATACATAATGCAGGTGCAGGTTGTGTGTTCTTACTGGCCTCAGCCCACAGGGGGCACAGCCCTCGGCTGGTTAATGAATCGGTGCGTACAGCATTACTTGCCTGTGTGGTTTGACAGCCACAGAAACATCACATATTAAATGCAAGCTAACACCAATGTCCCACACTTGAAAGCTCCCCACCTGTGCCTTATCGATCAATAAATCTGCAGGTGTGGGGATGTTGCTCCGTCCCTCCATTTGTAGACCTTTTGTGTGATCACAGTGCGGCAGAGAGGGCAGCTTTTCTCACGGTTAAACCACAAAGCGATGCATTCGTCGCAGAATATGTGCTGGACATCAGAGAAGCAACAACATAAGCATGCATGCGCTGCACTTACTGTACATAGAGCAAAGGTTTAAATGCAGAAGGATTTGGACAACTATAGATTGTGTTGCTTGGTTTTTGTAGCTTTCTTAGCTGTAGAAATTCCTACTTAGGGGCCAATTTTATTCTATGGCTTTTCTTAAGAAATATTACTCTTGTTCAGTGAATATCTATTGACAGTGATTTCATCAAGTGCTGTAAAGTGTAGTGATTTGAGAAACAAAGGAGGAATGTGTCTGACAGATGTCTAAAGGATTTTTATCTACTTCTTGAGACCCACATGACACAGAAGGGAAAAGCAGGAGCAACTACAGTGATAAAAAAATCCTAAACAGTGCTGTGGTACGACTTGCCCTGCAGTGTGGTTTTACCTGACAGAGTAGAACCCGAGGCTCCCTGTACTCCCCCTGGCAGATGGAGCAGACGTCTCCAGCCTCACTGCACTGACTCCTAGTGGCTGCTGTGCCTGTATGCTGAGGAACAAAAAACAACAGACCTTAACACAGCTGGTTACTCTGACTGTGAACATTGACTCTTTAACAAAGTTGTTTCCCACTGACCTCACCCGTCAGAACTATCCTCACAGTTTTCAGTAAAGACGTCCACTGTCCATAGAATCCTAAAAGCTGAGAGAGAGAAAAAACAAGTAAAGGCGTGTTTTTCATTCTTACTGCAAAAGTGAACAGTCTCAACTTGAATACTACAAAGATCTATTGTTGTGAAGTTCCAGTGAGCACACCTTTAGTATGAGGTAGAGTAAAGCCAGCAGGACCCCCAGTGTGAGTCCAGGAGTGCCCTCGGCCTCCTGGTAGATAACCAGGTATTGGAACCACAGTGAAACAGGAGCCATGGCCTGGTGGACCTGACCCAGCTCCTCGGTAAGCATGAGCCACCTCCCCTGGAGACATAAAAACACAAAAGACCACTAATGAAGCAATGCTGCCAAGATGCAGCATTACAGTGACATTTTGTTCTTAATCAGCAATCCCAAGAAGAAATCAGCCAGTCATACCTGGGATTTGTAGGTTACTAGTGAAGATGGCAGCAGCAGAATAAGGCACTTAATCCCCATAAAAAGAAACTTTATTATGAAGTTAGTAATGCCAACTGCCCATAGAACCTCCCAGAAACCCAGTGGCTCAATGGTTGGGCTGAAGAAGATGAGGCTGGAAGGAAGTCAACATTCAAGTGAGACACATTTCACTTCATTCAAGGTTTAGGCATTTACTAGACTCAAGTACAGGTGGGCAGTATTTACACTAGTTAAAATGATTGCTTAATCATCCCTCAGACAGCCAAAGTATACTCCAAAACAGGCCATTGTTCACAGGAAACATCTACACAGTCTTTTCAACCTAACTAATGTGAGATAGTTAATAATTACCAATGGTAAAGTGTTTCAGTGAGAAAAGTGTAGTAAAGCAGGAGTGTGGAAGAGGTCAGGAAGAGTAGCAGCCATGCACACTGCGGCTTGGAGTGACGATCCTGACGGTGCACACAGGAAGAATCATGGTTTAGGAATCCAACAGCAATGATCTATGTATCAGTGACTTTGCTGTTCTTAACTTACCTGAAGAAACACTTGAGTTTGGATACTATTATTCACATATAAAAAGGTCATCAAGAGGCCAACCCCAACTGCCAGACCTGGTAAATGAAAGGAAAAATTATGATGGGCTGTTTTGGGTTCACTGTTGGAAGAGTGCTGTTTGCATAACTCATACCAAGAGCATGTTGGATGACCAGTTTAGCACACAGTATGAGGAGGAATGGAAGACTCTTTTGGAGCCAACGGAAGAGATAGCGAAGCTCGGACAAGGAGGGACTGGGTTCTCCAGGATCCAGACCAGAGTCAGGCGGGTCAAGATCAGGCTCCAAATTGGACTGGTGCTGTGTCCAGTTTTGCCCGTGTGAATGTGAATGGGAGTTACCACGGGAGTTGACTCTGGACCTCCTGGATGATGTGCCTCCATTGGAGTCCCCAGGCCCGCCTGTCATGGGTACCCACACCTCATTGCTCCCAGGGCTGGCTGCAGCTGCACTAGTGGCAGGTGTCCTGGCTAGAAGCTCTGGTTGCAGAATTAGGGATAAACCATTTCCTGCATGAGCGCCCTGCTCACTTGAATTAGGCTGCATTATAGTAGGGAAATCCCTCAGCTTCAGTGCTATTCTGGAATCACTCCTTGGACACAAAAGACAAACCTTTGTAATCTCAGTCACAATATGTCCAACATCAACCATGGTAACAAGTAAAGTGACAAGTTATTTTTAGTCAACTGCTAAAAAATGCACATTTGAAGACTGTCAGGTATTAAAGAAAATAAAAAAAACACGCACTGCATAGCAAAGCCTGCAATTATTTGTAACATAAGGCTCCCAGCAAATATGAAGAAGAACTACCTAGGTCAAGGCCACTCACTGTTTTTATAGAAACATTGACAGCCTTAAAATATTAAATCGTCGAGTATTTACAACCCGTTATGGTAACAAATAAAGATGACAATATTTTGGGGCGCCGTTTCCAGCTGTAACAGAGATCAGCGGTGGGTTAGCTAAAAAAAAAAAAAAATTAGGTTAACGATTACCTCGACTCACTCTGATTGTATCAACCCTTAACTATATGAATGTTTTTAAAAACTAATTTATGTTAGCAGAAATACATGAGTCATTTCCAGACAAAGCAATGACAGAGACAGCTTGTCGTTTCCTACATAGAACTGGGCTGCCTTTAGCATTAGCGGCTAACAGCTGATATCTATCAGATCAGCGGCTATAAAAGCTGCAGCTCACCTATCAGTTTGCACCCGGAGTTTCATAGTAAACTCTCGGTCTCCATATAATACAATGATCAATTCACCAAATGAAGCAAAAACTAAATACGTTAGTTAGCTTTCAGTGTAAGCCGTACGCTGCTCGTTTAGACATATTGACGTTGTTTACGACAGCAAACGTCGCAACCTTCTGTGTGTTTTTGCAGCGTAAACTGTTCCAACTTCTTCCTCGTCTTCTTCTTCGGCTGTTTTTAATGGCGGTTGGCAACCATCTTCAGGTGCATTACCGCCACCTTCCAGACTGAAGTGTGGATCAGAGCGGCCCCTACCTACCACCACACCAAAATAACCCCACTCAGTTCACCGTATATTATGTTGTGTAACCCTGTGCTTTCTAAAAACCTAATAAGTGCTCTGTATCCTATATCCGCTGACCTTTGTCCCAACACCTCCGGTAAACTAAAGTTCATTCCACCTCTTAAAACATTGTTTTTAAATAATTCCCTCTTCCGCCTGAACCTGGGACAGCTCATTAAAACATGTTCCACTGGTTTTTGTACTCTACACATCTCACATTCCCCTGTAGTGTGTTTCTTGATTAACTTCAATGCATTATTTAAACCAGTAAGCCCAAATCTCAATCTTGATACCGTATCTTCATCCTTCCTATTTCCAGTACATCCTCTTATCTCTCCTACTTTCCTTTGAATGTTATAATAGAACCAACCTTTGCCATCTTTATCCCACAGTTCTTGCCATTTCTCTTTCAGTTTCCTTTTAATCAAACTCTTAACCTCAGCCTTACTATAGCTTACTTTCACACAAACATTTCATTTTTTAAGCACAGCTTTTGCAAATTTATCTGCTAATTCACTTCCCTCCACCCCAATATGTGCTGGTATCCAAACTAGCCTAATATCTATTCCAGCCCTCTGACATCTGAGTAGTATACAAGCTATTTCCAGTATTATGCCTTGGCTTGAGTCTGACTGGATGTTTTGAATACTCACTAAACTGAAGTCATTGTGCCCTGGGCCTGAAAACCTTAGAAATCTGCTGTGTAATCATATAGTTACTTTAGATGACATAGCTCTCGCCTCCAGTACTACTGTGAGGAACCTTGGAGTCATCTTTGATCAGGATATGTCCTTTAAACCAAGTCTCTAGAACTGCCTTCTTTCACCTGTGCAATATTGCAAAAATCAGGAGCATCCTGTCTCAAAGTGATGCTGAAAAACGGGTCCATGCATTTGTTATTTCCAGGCTGGACTACTGTAACTCTTTACTATCAGGATGTCCCAATAATTCCCTAAAAAAGCTTCCAGTTAATCCAAAATGCAGCAGCCAGAGTACTGACAGGAACTGTCAACAAGAGAGATCATACTGTATCTCTCCCATATTAGCTTCTCTCCACTGGCTCCCTGTAAAATTCAGAATAGAATTTAAAATTCTTCTCCTAACATACAAAGCCCTTAATGACAATGCTCCATCATATCTTAAAAACCTCGTAGAGCCTTATCATCCTAAAGTGCAGGTCTACTTGTGGTTCCTAGAGTCAACAGAAGTACAATGGGAGGAAGAGCCTTTAGCCATCAAGCTCCTCTCCTATGGAACCAGCTCCCAGTCTCAGAGGCAGATGTCCTCTCTACCTTTAAGAGTAGACTTCAGACTTTCCTTTTTTGATAAAGCTTATAGTTAAGGGTGGATCAGGTGACCCTGAGCCTTCCCTTATTTATGCTGCTATAGGCCTAGACTGCTGGGGGCCCCATGATGCTCTGAGTTTCTCTCCCCTCCCCTCTCCTCTCCTCTCCTCTCCTCTCTTTCCATGCTTCTATATGCCACCATTACAAATCACTAACTTTGTGTCTCCTCTCTCCTGTAGTGTGTCCTCTCTCTCTCCCCCTGTACCTTTCTGCAGGTTGCCCTGGCCCTGGAGCTCTACGTCTCTGATGAGCAGTCACAAGCCACATCGACCTGATCAGTGTTTGATTGTTGTATCTTGTTGCTTTTCTTCTTTTGTCTCTCCTATATCCACTCACCCCAACCGGTCGAGGCAGAAGGCCGCCCACCAAGAGCGCCCACCAAGACCTCTGTCGGAGGTTTCTTCCGTTAAAGGGAGTTTTTCCTCCCTGCTGTCGCCAAGTGCTTGCTCAAGGGGGATTTGTTGGGTTTTCCCTATGTAATAATATTGATAACAGTAAGGTCTAGCCCTTACTTTGTAAAGTGTCCTGAGATGACTTTTGTTGTGATTTGGCGCTATACAAATAAAATTTGATTTGATTTGATTTGTGTTCTTCTACCCATTCTAATGCTAGCACTATAGTCAGTAATTCTCCTGTGTATACTGAGAGATTATCACTGATCCATTTATTTGATTTCACATTTAATTCCGGTATAATGAACACTGAACCAATTTTTCCATTCACTGTCTTAGATGCATCTGTATATATTTTAAGAAATCCTGCATAATTTTTATCTATATATCCAATTACTTCACGTTGTGTCACACTGTCCTTCTTCTCTATTTCTAAAAGGCTCATATCTATATTTACTTCTACAAACATCCAAAGTGGGATCACAGATAATGGAACAGTAGGACTTATCGTTTTGTCCTCTGAGCCTGCCTCACTAATGTTACCTTCTATCATCCATCCAAAACTCCTCTGCTGACCTTTCTCTTTTTCTTGACAACTTTCCAGTAGTCTTTGAGTGGGATGACCCCCTTCTGCCCTTTTAAGTTCACCCAATAAGTTAGTGCCAATTGTGTTCTTCCTAAGGCCAAAGGTAATTCACCCATTTCCACCTGTAAAGCCAAAACTGATATTGTCTTCATGGCTCCACAGCACAGTCTTAAAAATTGGTACGGTATGATGTCCAGTCTGTTCAACAAGGTCTTACACGCTGATTTATAAAATATGCTACCATAATTGAAAACTGATCTGATTAAGCCAATATAAATTGTTTTTAACGCAGTTCTACTGGCTCCCCACTCTCTACCCCTCAAACATCTAATAATGTTTATCACTTTCTTGCATTGTTCAACTATTTTCCCTATATGTATTGCCCAAGTAAGTTTCTTGTCAAACCACATCCCCAAATATCTAAAACAATCTACTCTGTCCAGTTTTTCCCCATATAATTTAAGATTAACTGGAACTTCTGAATTCCTTTTTGTAAAATAAATTAGCTTTGTCTTAGACACAGAAAGTCTAAAGCCCCAATCTAGTGCCCATTCTTCTACCTTCCCTATTGCTTCTTGCACTTTCTTAGTAATACAGTCCAAATTTCTACCTCTTTTTCACATGGCCCCATCATCACAGCCACTATGCTTTCTTTATTAACTTTATTAACTTGAGCCTTCCTAATTTCATGTTCTAAACACAGAACAGCATCCACAGTTTGCCTGCCTTTTCTGAAGCCACTTTGATAGCCCTGCAAAATGCCTTTAGTTTCCAAATAATACATTAACCTTTCATTGATTATCTTTTCTATAACTTTCCC